GAACCTGCCACCTTAGGTGTACGTGGCTGGCGCCTTAGCCAGTTGAGCTATCGGCGCCGAACTTGCAGAAGCTTTTATATACTATATATTTCCTAAACTCACTTAATATAGGAGTCTTTTTGAATTTGATAAAATAAATGTGGGTCTCTGATAACATCTGTGGTTGATGATTTTTAAAGCAGAGTCAAGTGAGGATAAACAGAGTAAAAAAAAAAAAAAGGTTAAATAATTTGCCAAATAATGATTTTTGTGGTGCAACCTTAAAAAAATAATGTAGGCTAATTCAAAACATCCTAGAAACTTAAGAAGTAGTCCTGTTCTTAGGACTGGTACTGAGTATTGAGAAAGACGAAACAGATATTCTATAAGATACAGTAGCTGAAGAAAGACAACAGACTTAAGAGGAGTGGTGGTGACTGTTGTGCCCTGGGGTTGACTAGTTGATGAAGGGTCTCTGGCTTGTTGGATTATCTGAATATATATGGGGAGGAGTGAAAATGCAGAACAGTGGAAGGCACAAACTAAACATTGAGAGGGAAAAATGGGAGTAAGGTCCATAATAGCTGAAGGGAGTTAGTTATATTCAGCTGAATATAGGTAGATTAACCTTAGGAAGGCAGACTCTGAGATCACAGGAAATTATAAATGAAGCACAAGTTGTGTGTAGGTTAAAGTGAAAAGTTCAGAGTTTTCATGCTTTATATAATCTTGGACACTCCCACTCACCCATAAGAAATGAGGTGAAACCATCTGAGAAGATAGTAGAAGAGAAAATGGAGGTTTGGTCCTGAAGGACTGGCAATACTTTGACAGGAATTTTAGCAAAAATCTAAGAATAAGTAACACAATGTATCAATTCATTTGACAAACCATTTTTGTATGTCTCCTTTATGTCAGCCAGTCTTCTGGGTATTAGGAATACATCAGTAAGCATAAGAAGCATGAATCCCTGCTCTCTGGAGCTCTACCTTTTCCTAGGGTTAATTAATCTCTACAAACTGAATGAATAAATAAGAAAGAGCATCCAGGACTCTTCAAAGGCAGGGTCAGGAAAACTCTAGGAAAGAACTCAGTTTCAGAGAAAAGTGAAAGAGGGCACCCAATATCCTCTCAGTTATTCTTCAAAGACTTGATTATCCACAGGGCAAGATGATTCACTTACAGTGTGAAGCCAACAATGAGATTTGTTTACAGCCCATTCCCCAACTGTCTGATGTGACTGAGTCTATGGCTCACGCACCCTACGGCACATTAACCTCTCTGCTGCGATCAAAACAGATTGAGAAATTATCACTCTTAAAAGTTTTGAGAGAGGCAGGATTTTTATGGGAACATCACAAGTGTATATTTTGTCACATTTCTTTCTTTATTTTCCCCAGGGTCTGAAAGAGTGGCATACAATAACACCACCAGTATTTATGTAAAACAGTTCTATTTTCTTGGTAATTAGTACTCATATTTCATGATATGACAATTTAAAAGTAAAATTTAGCTGCACATATTTAAAGATAAAGAATATTAACATAAGAGATACAAAGATTCCCCCAAATTCTATTTCTAGATTTTTTTATTTCTACGTAAATGTATCAGATTGTCAATAATACAAGTTAAGTTTCATTATAATGAAGACTGGACATTTTCAGGCTTATGTATACAGTTAAAGAATATGGTTACTAATATTGTTTTTATGGTGAAAATATTAAACTTTGTTAAATGTTGATTTGAGAAGTGTATTCTCACCAACACACTGAGGAAGTTGGGTCCATGATCCATTCCTACATGTAACTGATCTGTGTCCAACCATTGTAAATGTTTCTGTGCAATTGAATTCCACTGAATATCCATGGTAATAGGGAGGGGAAGAAGGCTGGACATAACCATCATCAAGTTCAGGTATATCTCCACATGTACTCTCATCCTCTATATGAATGTCAAAAATATGTTTATTGTTGAAACATAATTTACATGTTTATGTAAATACAAAAAAGTGTTAATTGAAGTTTAAACATCAATATTTTTATACATTACCAACACATATTGGCAAGGTTGTCCACTTTCCATCAACACATTGAATTTTACTAATCCCCTTCATCAGAAATCTAGGATTGCAATCATATTCCACCACTTCACTGTGTTCATACTCTGTTTTCTTTATTCCCTTAGCTTCTCCATTGTTGAGTTGAGGGGGTGGACCACAGGATAGTACTTTCTCTACAGTAGAAATACTATGTAAGTAATGGTTAAATGATCTATTTTGTAATTTAAAAACCCAGTGAAATGGAGAAATTTTTTTATTTGTTTTTCCTTCTATAAGTGATAATAGTATTCTTAAATAATAAAAAAAGTTATTTGTACCAGACTTAGAGCTGATATATATAGAAATAGCATATTTAAAATTAGAAGCATATTTAAATTTTCAAATGTGTTCAGTAGTCTGATATTCAAGATGCATATACACGGACTACCAAACATGCTTACAAAAGTTATGTTACTTTTCATAATACATGGAAACATTCTATTATAATTTTTTGAAAATGTACAACCACTAAGACAAGCATTTGATCAATGTATTTCAAATTTGATTAAGAGATAAATGGAAATGAACATACTATAAGCTAGTTACATATTGTTTAGACGTACTCAATGAAACTTGAGTAAAGCCCAGGCTATATTCAATGTCCAGTAAGTAATGGTGGCATTGTAAGCAAATGAAAAGTAACAAAAGAAATCCTTTCAAGTTAAGCTACAGCTATTGTTTTGATGTTTGTTCCCTCCAAATCTCCCGCTGAAATTTGATCCCCAGTGATAGAGGTGGAGGCTAATGGGAGATGTTTGGGACTAAGAGTGGATCTCCCATGAATAGATTAATGCCCTCCCTTAGAGTGAGTTTTCACTCTATTAGTTCTCATAAACTAATTACTTACAAAAGCCTGGCTACCCCTCCACACCCTACCCCTGCTTCCTCTCATCATGTGATCCCTACACACAACAGCTCTCCTGCTTTTTCACCAGGAATGGAAGCAGTCTGAGGCTTAGAAACAGATGCCCAACCTTGAACTCTACAGTCATTGGAATCATGAGCCAAATGAAACTTTTTTTATAAATTATCCAACCTCTGATATTCCCTTATAGTAACACAAAACAGACTAAGACAACTAGCATGTATGTAGCTATGAATACTTTCAATATGTATTTTTAGGAAACAATTAAAGATTAACTTAAATAAGAAAATATGAGGCATCTGCCCCCCAAACATGTCCTTCATAGGTATGCCTCTAACTAATGCATTATATTATAGACACTGGAAGCTCATAGAAAATTAAAAGAAGAAGTAAATGTTAGTTTCAAAATTCTAAATTTTGTTTCAGCAATTTTAAGATAAATATAACATTCACCTTTACACGTTGGGATGTTAGGTGACCATTCAAAGTGGTAGCACTGAACTGAATCTGGTCCAACTCTTGTAAATCCTGGTTTGCAGGAGAATCTCACCACATCTCCAATTTTATAACTGTCTAGCTTGGGATTAGGAACTAAGTGTGCATCTATTGTAGGAAGCCTGCATTCTCTTTCTAAAAGAAAAAAAGTAGAATAATTTAATGAGAATGTATAATAAATCATTGCCAAAGTGAATATTATATGCCAAGTAAAAGTGAGGTATGTGCTGGTTGATTCAGATACAGGGGGGCATTATATAAACACTTTTACTTAAAAAAAAATTCTGTCTACTATGTTTTATCCACTCTAATTTCATATGAACTGTGAGAAATGTAACAGTATTAAATAGCAATATAGCCATCCTGTAAATTAAATTATAAATTCAACCTGTTCAAACTGAATCTAGTTTTAATAACTGACATGTATAAATTTTGTTATATTTTTTGTACTCAAAGCATAAAGTTATTCTGTTAATTACAAAAAGAATGCTTTACATGAAAATTGGTATTTCTGTTTAATGTAATTCAGAAAACAGAACATACAGTTTTCACCCTTTTCTTCTCTTCTATAATATGTATGTGTTTCTTGACATCCTGAACAAATGAAACTATGCCCTCAACACTGCTAATTAAAGCCTGCCTTGTATCTGTCCTAAACACTGTCTCTTCTCTGTCGGCTTTCCTATTCTTCTTAGTGCGCCTCCTCATTCTTCTCCCTGCTCTATTCAATTTCAGCTCACCTGGTCTAATACTTCAAAATAGAAATCATCAGTTTAGACTTATATAATAATTTTCCTTTCTTTCTCCTGTTAGAAAGCTGTAAGTGGTCTGATTGCCACCAATGCCTAATATCTTCAGCCCAAAGGCTGTGAATCCTTCCTCTCCCATTTCCTGAGAGAACTATGTAATTCATATACTCATTCTCTGCAGCTTCTCTCTGCAATATCCTCTACAGCTTTCAGTAGGCTGTCTTCCATCTTTAAAAAAAAAAAAAGCATCCCTTCAGTATCTTAATTCCTGTAGCAACATTTTGAACTTTCTATTTGCTACACAGACAATTCAAAAAGTTATGTCCATATGTCTTATTTGATATATATACACACACACACACACATACACACATGGAATCTTTGAGGGTACAAAGATTTAGGTTACATTGACTGCAGTTTTTAGGTAAAGTCCCTCTTATAATTGTGTCCCACCCCCAAGAAGTGTGACTTCATACACTGACTCCCACATTCCCCTCTCTTTTCCCCTTCCCCATTCCCTTATTTTCCTACCCTACCCCTGTATTAGCTCATCTACTGTCTTCATATTAGAATTTAGTACATTGGATCTTGCTTCTCCATTCTTGTGACACTTTACTAAGAAGGATGTGTTTCACCTCTATCCAAGTTAATGCAAAAAATGTAAAGTCTCCATGTTTTTTAATGGCAGAATAGTATTCCATGGTATACATATACCATAGCTTGTTAATCCATTCCTGGGCATTTAGACTGTTTCCACATTTTGGCTATTATAAATTGAGCTGAAATAAACAGACTAGGGCAAATGTCCTTATAATAAAAAGATTTTTTTTTTTCTTCTAGGTAGATGCCTAGTAATGGGACTGCAGGATCAAATGGGAGGTCTAATTGATTTCTTTGAGGATTCTCCATATTAATACAAAAAGGTTGTATTTGTCTGCAGTCCCACCAGCAGTGTAAAAGTGTTTCCTTCTCTACACATCCACGCTAGCATCTGCAACTTTGAGACTCTGTGATGTGGGCCATTCTCAAAGGGGCTAGGTGATATCTCAGGGTTGTTTTGATTTGCATTTCTCTGATTTTTAGGAACAATGAGTATTTTTCATGTTTGTTAGCTATTCATCTGTCTTCTTTAGAGAAGATTATATTCATGTCTTTGGCCCAGTGATATATGGGATTGTTGGGTCTTCTTGAGTTGATTAAATTCTTCATAGATCCTAGCTAGCGACCTTTTTTTCCAATTTGTAATATGCAAATATCTTTTCCCATTTAAGACTGTTATTTGCTTTGGTTGTTAATTTCTTAGATATACAGAAGTTTTTTGGTTTAATTAAGTCCCATCTGTTTTTGTTGTTGTTTCAATTGCCTATAAGTCTTCTTCATAAAATCTTTCCCCAGGCCAATATCTTCAAGTGTTTTCCCCATGCTATTTTTGAGGATTTTTATTGTTTCATGCCTTAGATTATAATCTTTCATCCATCTTGAATCAATTTTTGTAAGTTACAAGAGGTACAGGTCCAGTTTCAGTCTTTTACATGTGGTTATTGAGTTCTTCCAACACCATTTATTGAATAGGAATTTTTTCCACCACTGTATGTTCTTATTTGGTTTATCAAAGATCAGGTGGCTATAAGAGGTTAGTTTCATCTCATGTTTTCCATTCAATTCCATTCAATAGAGACATGTTTATGTCTCTATTTTTGTGCCAATACTATGCTGTTTTGATCACTATGGCCATGTAGTACAGCCTAAAGTCTGGTAGGGTGATACCCCAGATTTATTTCTATTACTAAGAATTGCTTTGGCTATATAGGATTTCTTCTGGTTCCAACTAAACAAAGAATTGTTTTTCCAAATCTTGAAAGTATGATCATGGTGTTATAATGGGGATTGCATTGAATCTGTAGATTGCTTTGGGAGGTATAGACATTTTGACAATGTTGACTCTTTCGACCCATGAACATGGTATGTTCTTCCATTTGTTAATACTTTCTGCTATTTTCTTTTTTATTTAGAGACAATCTCACTTTGTCACCCTGGGTACAGTGCCATAGCATCACAGCTCACAGCAACCTCCAACTCCTGGGCTTAGGCGATTTTCTAGCCTCAGCTTCCTGAGTAGCTGGGACTACAGCTGCCTGCCACAATGCCTGGTTATTTTTTGTTTCAGTTTGGCCAGGGCCAGGTTTGAACCCACCACCCTAGGTATATGGGGCCGGCACCCTACTCACTAAGCCACCTGCTATTTCTTTTTTTAGGGTCTTGTAATTTTCTTTGTAGAGTTCCTTTGCCTCTTTGGTTACATATATATATGACTAAATATTTCTTTTTTTTTTTTAAGCTACTGTGAAGGGAATTATGTCCTTGATTAGCTTTTCATCTTGGCTGTTATTAACATATACAAAGGCTACAATTTGTGGACATTGATTTTATATCCTGCAATAATTCTGTATTTTTTGATCACTTCTAGGAGTCTTGGGTTGCGTCTTTGGAGTTCTCTAAGAATAAGATCATATCATCAGCAAAGAGTGAGAGTTTGACCTCTTCTGCTACCCTTGGATGCCCTTTATTACATTCTCTTACCTGATAGTATTGGTTAGAACTTCCAGCACTATGTTGAATAGTAGTAGAGAAAGAGGACAATCCTGTCTGGCTCAAGTTCTAAGTGGAAAAGCTTTCAGTTTTACTCCATTCAGTAAAATATTAGCTGTGGGTTTGTCGTAGATGGCTTCAATTGGATTAAGAAATATGGCACCTATTCTTATATTCTGAAGTGTTCTAATTAGAAAAGGATGCTGCATTTTCTTGAATGCTTTTTCTGCATTGATTGGGATGATCATATGGTCTTTGTTTTTGCTTCTGTTGATTTGGTCAATTACATTTATGGACTTTTGCATACGTCAAACCAGCCTTGCATCCCTGGAATTAAACCAGCCTATAATCTATGGCTAGGATTTTATTGAGGATTTTTGCATCTGTGTTCATTAGTGAAATTTGTCTGAAGTTCTTTTTAGTTTGGTCTTCCTGGTTTTGGTATCAGTGTGATATTTGCTTCCAAGAACATGTTAGGGAAGATTCCTTCTTCCTCAGTTTTTTGGAATAATTTCTGCAGTATGGGAATAAGCTCTTCTTTGAAGATTTGATAGAATTCTGGTGTGAAGCCATATGAACCAGGGCATTTCTTTGTTGGGAGATTTTTAATTGTTTCTTTGATCTCAATTTTTGAAATTGGTCTGTTCAAGAGATCTATTTCTTCTTGGTTACTTCTAGGGAGAGGATGTGATTCTAATTATTTCCTGTAGAGTTGGTCTTACTGTGGCAAATTTCGTAAGTGTTTGTATATCTGCAAAAGATTTAATTTCCCTATCAATTTTGAATCTTAGGTTAGCAGGATACAGAATTCTGGGATGAAAATTGTTTTGTTAAGAATGTTGAAGGTGGATGATCAAACTCTTAGGGCTTGGAAAGTTTCAGTTGAAATGTCTGCTGTCATCCTAATTGCTCTTCCTCTGTAGGTCATTTACCACCTATTCCTGGCTGTTTGCAGAATTTTTTCTTTCATCTTGACTTTGGACAGGTTTATTACAATTTGTCTTGGAAAAGCTCTGTTTGAGTTGAGATGACTAGGGTTCAATATCCATCTGAAAGGAGTGTGCCAGAGTATTTAGTAAGACTTGGGAAGGTTTCATTTATGGTAGTCTCCAGTAGTGCTTCCATTCCTTTGGAACAATTTTCTTCTCCTTCAAGAATCTCTATTATTCATATGTTTGAACATTTCATGGAGTCTTGTAGTTCTCTAAGCCTCTGTTCTGCTTTCTCTCTATTCTTTTTTGTCTCTTTACCTACCCGGGTTAACTTGAAAACTTTATCTGCTAGCTCTGAGGTTCTTTCTTCTCCATGATCTAACCTATTTTTGATACTCTCTACTGCATCTTTATGTTCCCTAATAGTCTCCTTCATTTCCTTAAGCTCTACCATATTCTATATTCTACACATCTCTCTTCCAACTTTTTATTCTGTCTTTCCATTTTCTAGTTCATTCCTTTCATTGTCTTTATCATCCATATTTTAAATTCCCCTTTTGTCAAATCCATTAATTTTTTCTGGGTGGAGCATTTTGCAGTAGCTGCCTCATGATGCCTTGGGTGAGTTGCTCTGTTTTGGTTTTTCATGTTGCCCGAATTTTTATGTTGGTTACTCCTCATGTGTTCTATCTTCTTGTTCACTTCCTTTTTCTCCTTTTTCCTTCTCCCTTCCTCCTTTGTTTCAAATTACCTTGTCTCAGAGCTTAGGTCTGGAAGTAGCCTCAATCTGAGCAAAACTAAACTCTTCTTTATGGTCAAAAAAATAAGAATTCCTGCTCTTAATGACAATCTGTTGCAATATGTCTATAGGACACCAGGGGGCATTGTGGTTTTTTTTTTTTTTTTTTTTAATGAGGGAGAAGGCAGCCAGTAAACTCTATGGTCCATATTCCCAACTTAGTTGCCCTCAGTGATCAACTGATTGTTTCCTCAGTGTTCAGACCCCAGCAGATTGAAATCTTAACGCTGAATTCTTCAGGGATAGGTCTCACAGTGCCCTCTGCCTCCAGCTCCCATGGGGTGCAGCAATCCATCAGCTTGTCCCAAGAGTGGAGTTCTGATCCCGGCAGGTGGAATTAAAGCAGCCAGGCTTTAGGACCCTGCTAAGACTTTCTCATGACCTTCACAATGGCATCCCCCTGGCAGCAGAGACTTTCTCAGTATGGTTGTCTCACTAGCCACTATACCAATGGCAAATCCACTCCAACCAGTATTTAAATCTGGTTGCTGTATACTGTTCAATCAGATTGCTGTATACTTGGATGCCCAATTGTCCAAGCTTTCCACTCATGCACAGCTTTCCCGAACAACTAAAAACTCTAGGAAGCCTTCCTCCTATCCTGGACCACTAGGTGAGCCCAGCATATCCCAGCCAGTCACAATCACTTGCCTGATTCATCAGATTTCCACCACTCTGGATCATAGGCTGTATCCAACTTACCCCCTTCCACCTGAGTTACAACTATGGGTAAGGTCCCCATGCCAGGTATGGTTAGGTTCTTTCTTTTTCCTTGGTCATTCTAGGAGAGTTCAGCTGAACAATACTTCTGGTCTGCCATCTTGCCCTGCCCTTTCCACACTTCTTGAAAGAGTTATGTCCACACTTCTTGAAAGAGTTATGCCCACAACCTATATTAAATTTATTGCTATCATTTTTCTTTGGCAGATTATATTTAGATTCTTTCCCTTCTATTTCATTAAAAACCTTACTTTTATGGTAATAGTTGACCTCCATTTTGCTATATCCATTAGTTTTATAGATTTCTAACTGAACATGATAGTTGAATTAGAAATATTTATCATTTCAACTATTGTTAACAATGAAATTAGAATAAAATTTATTTGAATTTATTTTATTGAAGTCACTATTGGAAGTAATTTACATGGATATTTTAGTCTATTACTGAAAGCAATCCTTTGAAATATTAAAATATTTGTAAATATTGGAACATTTTATGAATAAGAATCTATAAGCTTCAGATAGAGTTAGTATATTGCTTAAAAATACATGCTTAGCAAGTGATGGAATCAGAATTAGAATTCAGACAAGATGACTTATTAGTCAACCTGTTATGCTTTTAACAATTTCCTTCTTTTTACATCTATGACAATATTCTAGATTTTTTCTACCATTTCTCTGACTTCTTTTATTTGTCCATTCTGTGCTATCTGTTCAACTGCTATATTTGTTTATGACATTTATGTATTTCAAAGTTCAGTCTTGGGCTCCTTTCTCTTTTCACTTGGTATTATCATTCTATTTGATGTCATCATTTATGACTACAATCTCAGATGCATATATTCTGGCTACATATTTTTCCATCTTTCCCCCAGAGTTCATGTATCCAATTTTGATTGTCCATTGGCAGCTCAACCATAATGTGCCCAGTCAGAAGTTGTGATATTCCTCTCAAAAAATTTTCTTCCCTCTCAACACCATCTTATAAAATGGTATTTCTATTTCCTACATACTTATGATAAAAAACAAACATGTAAAGTTTTTGTTGTTGTTGTTTGAAACAGAGTCTCTTGCTCAGGCTTGATTGTTATGGCATCAGCCTAGTTCACAGTAACCTCAAACTTCTGGGTTCAAGTGATCCTCCTGCCTTAAACTCCTGAGTAGCTGGGACTACAAGCGCCCATCACAATGCACCAATTTTCCTATTTTAGTTGAGATGGGATCTTGCTCTTGCTCAGACTGGCTCAAACTCCTGAGCTTAAGTGATCCTCTCACCTTGGCCTCCCAAAGATCTAGGATTATATGTTTGAGCTATTACATGTGGCCTATGTGAGTTTCTTAATCTCACTTTTCCTTACATCCAACACTTAGTGATATTACATGTACTCTCCACCACCAAAACTCATCACAAATTATCTTTCACCATGATATTTCTCAAATAGATTGTTTTGTTTCCAAACCTTTACACATACTATTTCTTTGGTTTGGAACACTTTACATACACTTATGTTTCTCACATATAGAAACCTTCTAATCATGGAAAATAAATGGTTGACTGGCAAGTCTAAGAGAGATTCCACAGAACTTCCTAAAGTTAGAAAGTAATAGCTACACTCAAGAAATAGAGAAATTAACATTCAAGGTAGAGGTATGAAGCAGAAATTTAGGAACAGAATAACAGAGGAATTCATAACAAACTATAATTTTGGTGTGTTCACTTCTAAATAATTCAAAAACTTTCATATAGGATAACTAAACAATTATACTTTAATCTAAGACTCACAGGAAAATTTAATTTAATGTACTATTTTAAAGATCAATATTTTCTTTGGGTTTTAAAATACCCTCTGAAAGTATATGTAAGACCAGGAGATACCTTGATTTTAATCATCTTTCCTTAAAAATGTCTGTAAATAATTCAAATTTTAAAAATGGAACACATATAGATTTATTTTTACCCTAAAGAAAGTATCACTGGAAGAACAGTACTTACCATAACAGGTGGGTGTATCAGACCAACCATGGTATTCACATACTATGGAGCCTGTGGTAGCTTTGTGTTTGTTTTCATATCTTTCATCGCATTCATAATCCAAGACATCATTGAGCTTAAACCATGTTCTGTTAATTTTGGCTCTGGCATTTGTAAATGCTGGCTTATCACAAGATTCTAGAACATAATAAAATCAAGAATATCATTTCTAATATAATTTAATGTACAGTCTAAGTGATTCCAATTCCAATAAAAGAAAGATTTATTGATTAGTATGTATTATACTAATAAATTAAGTACTGTATAAAAATGATTTAAGAATACCACTTATAAATTATTGTCTTGCAATAAGTACTTAAAATGAGAAAAATGTTTCTACACAGCATTTTTTCATCACTTAAACATTCTGAAAAATTTATTTGGAGAGTATTTTTCTCAATTAAATTATACTTAGCATATAAGAAAATAATAGTAATAAAAATGCCACTGTAGATGTATATTGCTTTGTTTTTGGTAAATCATAATAGTATTCTCCAAGTTAAAATGCAAGGCTCATTAGTAGCTAAGACATATATATACAAGAGAAAAAAATTGAATAAGAAGATCAATGCATATTTATAAGATATTTTCTCTTACATAATAAGAATGTCTTCTCAGGCAGCACCTGTAGCTCAAAGGAGTAGGGCGCTGGCCCCATATGCAGGAGGTGGCTGGTTCAAACCCAGCCCTGGCCAAAAAAAAAAAAAAAACAGCAAAAAAAAAAAAAGATGACTTCTTATAAATAAGATCAAAATTTAGCATATATAACATAAAGTGAATTTTATATGAAGGAAAATCTTTTTTCTTCAACTGAATTTAAGATTCAATGAGGGGAAACATTTCTTATGTAGAGCTCATATTAACCATAGATTTTTTTCCTTTTTGCAGTTTTGGCTGAGGCCAGGCTCAAACCTGCCACCCTCAGCATATGGGGCTGGCACCCTACTCCTTGAGCCATAGGCACCACCCCATTGATTTTTTTCTAAAAAAGAGAGGAAAACTGTATGACTGGATTTATTAAATATTCACACCACTTACAGTGATTGTTTTAAATATCACTTCAAAAATAATACTAAGTGGCTTTCAGAAAAATAACATAAACTAAGCAAATCATTCTTATAAAATATAGATAACTAGATAATATGGCAGGGATATCTTTCAACACAGCAAAAACTGGTAGCATCTAGAAACATTTCTCTCCACTACTTATGTATTTCTGAATATTTTCTAACAGAAAGGATATTCAGAACTGAAGCTGTCTTACAGTGTCAAGTATAAATTATAAAAGATAATGTATTGTGATATTATGCTTAATAGATTCATATCTCCACTGAATACTCATATATAAAGGCAAAGATATTTATACAAAAGGATAATCACCCATAAATAGGTATATGTAATTGACATAAATTTTTCAGATAAAACTAAATGAATTTACATTAAAATGCGTATAAAGTTTCCTAAACAGTTTCTAAATAAAAGGATGCTTTAAAGTAAAAAAACAAAAAAACAAAAAACAAACTTAAATGGAAAGATGGACTAATATCTAGTAGTTAATCTTAAAAGGGAAAAATATATGTTTTTTCTTAAATATTTTCTTTATCTTTTCTGATAAAACCGCATAAACATTTTCAAAAAGATAAAGTAAATTTTCCATATCATCTGTATAATAATGACTGACATAATAAGTTACTTACTAATGCATTTGGGTTGTTCTGACCATCCATTTTGCAGACATGTAATTAATCCTGATGTTTTACCATCTGCTGTTACATATCCTGGTTTACACTTATATTGTGTTTGTTTATTTAAGGGATATGTAACCTGAGATTCAGAAATAAACCCATTCTCAATTTCTATTTCTGAACATGTTTCTAAACAGGAAAAATATAAGGAATAGATAAGTATAAGTTCAAAAACATTTTTATGAGAACTTAAATAACATGACAACCTAAAAAATGATTCATTTGTAAGCAAAAATCCTAGATAATCACAATCTTCCAAGTTCTTATATCAAATAAAATAAGTTATGAGTTTCCAAAACTGTTATATTAAGACCTTTTATCTTCTTTTTTAGTAAAGCTAGACTAAAAACACTCATAAACCTGTCTGAGAGATTATAGAAATCTGTCTAATAAATCCAGGATGCGACAGTAAGCCACAAGTCAATATTATGATCATTAATGAGAATTTTAAATCTTGCCTAGTTTGCATATTTTAGACTATCCCAGAACTCATGTAGCCAATTGGAATATATGACCAGGAGGTGATGATCTTAGAAATTCTGGCTAAATAGCTGCCATAGACTTTGGACCAAGATTTTGAAATATTATTATTGTGTGCTTCAAAGCATAGGGATGCATGGAGTTCAAAGATGCCAATGAAAAGCAACTTATTTATTTATCTTAGAAGGCCAAAATGATGATTCATCAATCAAATTAGGTATAACTTAATTTGAAATAGTAAAAGTTATTGTTTCTATAAACTGACAGTTAAAGTTACTGTCAATTACTGGATTTTCCCTCAGCACTCAGCTTCATGTATAAACAGCCCATGGATAACTAGGAATTCAGAAGAGTGAATGTTAAATATTTTTAATTAAATGATAACAAAATATATTTAAAATTTTGTGAAGTGACACTAAAGTAGTGCTTAGAGGGAAACATCATTAAATAGTCATTCCACAGGGAGAAGGAATATAAGTAGAATATAGCAGCCTTGATGACTAGAAGAAATAACAATGAGTGTTCTCAAATGCTGAAGTCACTAGAATTTGCAGGGTAGAGAGTAAGACAGGAAGAAAATACAGAGTAGAAGATCCCTATAAATTTGTGTAGTAATTCCTTAAATTCTTTGGCTGAATAGTGACACACTGTAAAATAGGTCAAAACTCCATCAGAATGGACAAAGAATAACTACCAGATGAAGAACAACTACTAGAGAATAATGAAACAGATTCCCAGAGCACACACAACACTAGGAGACATTCAAATTTGATTAGAGTGGAAAGATGACTTTGGGCATCCAAATTTCTTTGCAGAGACAACAGATGAAGCTTTATTAATATTCTAAGCAACTAGCCCTAACATAAAGGCAGCCTTAATAATACTTAAGACATAAGACTTGAAAAGATCCAGTTGATCTATATATAACAAAGATCCTTTTAAAACAAAATTTAATACAAGTAATTCTCAAGGACTCCAACCATAAATACCAAAAGGTACACACTTTAAAAGTTCCAAAATTGTTTTTTTCTTAGTTAAAAACTAGGGAAGAAAAAAATAGCAATACTACTCTCCTTCCCCTCCCAAAACCTAATAAACATTTTGGAAAACTGTCCCCCCCATCTCCAAAATAACATCAAAGGATAAACCACATATCAAAATTTGTGGATTGACACTGAAGCAGTATGGAATAAATTGATCTTACGAGATACCTAAATGGAAAAAACAGGGTTCTACTCTACTGACACTAGCTCTACATAAGATATCAGAAAAAGTAGAAGAAATGAAACTAAAAGTAAGCAGAAGGAATAAAACAATTAAATCAAAGGTGAAATAATAAAGTAAAAAAGTAAACATATATACAAATAATGAAATCACAAGCTGGTTATTTAGAAGATCTCTAAAATTGATAAACTTGGGGAGAGGGAAAGATAACCAACTGGAGTCAGCTTTCCACAGAGGTTCCCATCCAGAAGGAGAGCTAAAGAACAGAAGGTTCTCAAGAAAGCTGAAGGTCAGGAGTGCACATCATCCCTACTGAGGCAAGCTGCGACTCCAGGGAAACAAACTACAGGTACAAAACCTATTGCCAAGCGGACAAGAGACCCCTCCCCAAGAGAGCAGCTTGGTGTGCTTTCTACAAATAAGCAAGCAGTGTTGGCTCTCCTCTTATTTTATCCCAAGGGAGAGAGCTGCTAAACACCAGAACTCCTCCAGATAGAGTCCACCTGTGAGCCTAGGCACTCTCTTGCCTGGTGTACAATTTAACAAATATTCTGCCTGCAATTCTGAACTCCCAGTCCCTCCTCTCCCTACAGGTCTGGAAGCCTGTCCCCTGTAAAGTCCAGCATGTTTCCCAGTTCCTAGAGTGGTCTGGGCATGAACTGGGCTACTACAAATCTGAAACAGCTGCATGGGTTTAATTGGGAAATGTAGAGAGAGGAAGTCAAGTGAGAGAGGGAATAATGTGGCCCACATCAGAGTGTGGTGGCTGGGATGGTGGCAGGGCTCACACTCTCAGTTAAATTTTGGAGAAGCACTTCCCATTTCTCTTGACCTCCTGAGGGAGCCAGGCCTCCACCTTGGGGGCTGCCAGCACAGCACAGCTGGGACAGAAACACAGACTTGGTGAGCAGTGGGTGTTCCCTGCTGTGGTACCTGCACCTGGTGGGCAGGGCTGGGACAGACACACAACCTTTACGAATGCAAAATCCTCCTGGTGGAGGTACCTGCCTTTGGTGGAGTGTGGCGGGACAGAGACACAGACCCAATGAGGGTACATGCTGGGTGGTACACACCTGTGGTAGGGTAGGGCTGGGACAGAGACACAACCTCTATGAGCACAAAATACTAGTTGTGATAGCATTAATTGGCCAGGATGGAATGGGGCTGGGACTTAGACACAGACTCCAAGAGTACCCACTACAGTAATACACACTCATGGCAGGGACTGGTACAGATACACAGACTTGGTGAGGGCAAAATACACCTGGCAGTGGTATCTTCCCACAGACAATGGTGAACAAATTCCAGGACTGATGCTGTTGGTGCACTCCCTTAGGCTGTTTAGAACTGGAGGGAGCTGAGCTTTAGATCCATGAGGTTTCACTGGTGGCACAGTACAGTGTGGCAGGAGGCACTGACTCCTCATTATCTCTGGCAGACCCATGTCCCCGATGCTTTTGCCCACTGAAGGGAGCCTGACCACAGCCCCATGGGGTTATTAGTGGCAGGGCAAGGCTACAGCATAAGGCAGGGAAGGGGGCACCAACCCCCCTTGCCTGACTCTTTGGTTGGGTGGGCCTTTCTGACCCCATTGAGCACCAGAGAGAGCCAAACTCCAGCCTATTGGGTTTCTGGGTCCAAACTACCTGTGGATCTCTACCATCAGGTTTCAGGACAATGTTTGAACTCACAGTTGAGCAGTGATTGTGCTGCCTGGGATAAATGGTCTGAAATTTTCCACCTGGGCTGTCCACCTGGCAACCCTCCAAGGTTGAGCTGTGGTTGTGTTGAAGTGGGAGGGACTTATACTCTCACAATTGTCATGAGAGAAGGCAGGGGATCTCAGTTACTGTATCTCCCCCTAACTGAGATTTCACGCTAGTTTTGCAACTCAGTAGTATTGGATAGAGGCTGGCTGACTACAAGATAGAGCCAGCTAGCTCCATCACACCAATTAGGTCCTCGCTGCAGATCTGACTGGGAGCTTTGTAAAGCTGTAGAGAAAAAGCCACAATCACTAGTCCTATCTCTCTAATAAAGGGCTACTTTACTATAATGCCTAGAACTCCGAACCCAATCACACCATATTAGTTTTGATACCCAAACTGAGGAAAATATTCATGGGACAGAACAAGAAGAATTCCAGCAACATGAATAATCAGAGTTGATCAACTCCCCCAAGGAATTGCAAAAATGATATGTTAGAAGATGCCCTTCATAAACAAATGGCCAAAATGTCAGGAATAGAATTCAGAATATGGATGGCAAATAAGATACATACATTGGAGGAAAAGATGGAAATCGAAATCCAAAGAATTATACAAAAGTCTCAAGAATCAATGAATCCAAAGACAAAATTACTAAGGATATGGACATAATGAGAAAGGAGATAGAAAAGCTCAAGGAAATGAAAAAATTATCTGAGGAGCTCCAAAATACAGTAGAATCCCTCAGTAATAGACATGAGCAAGCAGAAGAAAGGATCTCTGAAATCAAAGACAAAGCTTTGAACATTCCCAAACCCTCAAAGAAGCAGATAGGTGGAAAGCAAAAACTGATCATTCCCTGAGAGAGTTGTAAGACCACTCCAAAAGATCAAACATTCATCGTATAGGAATACCTAAAAAGCATTGCCCTACAGGCACAGATGCTCTACTTCAAGATATTATGGAGAATCTCACAAGCATTGCAAGAGATACTGAAATTCAAGTAGTAGACAGCTTCAGTACCCTAGCATGACTCAATTCAAATAAAGCATCTTCTAGATGCATTGTAATTAACTTTGCCAGGGTTAATATGAAGGAGAAAATTCTCCAAGCAGCCAGATGTAAGAAAAGCAGTACCTATAGAAGGAGAAATATTAGAATGACTGCAGATCTCTTAGCTGAAACCTTCCAAGATAGAAGAGGATGGCCATCAACCTCATTCTCCTAAAACAAAACAACTTCCAACCCAGGATCCTATATCCAGCTAAAATGAGTTTTATCTGTGATGGAGAAATTAAAAACTTTACTGACATACACATCTTGAAGAAACATGCCATAAGTAAACCAGATCTCCAGGATATTCTTAGACCCATCCTCCATAATGATCAGCACGATGGTCCACGGTAAAGGAAACTAACCCAGAAACGTTTGAACAAAACTTGATTTCCACAGTAGGGAAAGGATTATATATATACTCTAGACATTTGAAAAACATGCCACTTAAAACACTACCATGCTTATCAATTCTCTCAATTAATGTGAATGGCTTAAACTATTCTCTAAATAAGCACAGGTTGGATAACTGGATAAATAAACTCAGACCAGATATCTGTTGCATACAAGAGTCTCATCTTTCCTTAAAGGATAAAAATAGACTCAAGGTGAAGGGATGGACATCTATTATACAGGAAAATGGACACCAGAAAAAATCAGGGGTTG